ATACACCCTGTAAATCCCAAAGTTTGGGACATTACAAGCCCCTCCGTGGCCCTATGTCCCCCTGCCTCTATCAAATTACGTGACCCCTCTCAGTATATCTGTCAGGCCCAATACCCCCTAACCACTTCAGCCCTCATAGGCCTCCAACCCATCATTCAAGATCTCTTAAACAAAAATTACCTCAGACCCACTCACTCCCCATTTAATACCCCCATATTAGCTGTTAAAGAAACCAACGGATCTTTCCACCTTGTCCAAGACCTTTGCCTCATCAACATGGTCGTGGTCCCTATCCATCTCTTAGTTCCAAATCCATACACCCTTTTATCGCAGATCCCTGCCTCGGCATCCCACTTCTCAGTCCTAGATCTCAAGGACGCATTTTTTTCTATCCCTCTGGACCCCTCCTCCCAAGATTTTTTCACCTTCACCTGGATGGACCCATGCATGAGACATTCTGAACAACTTACTTGGACAGTTTTGCCACAAGGCTTCCGAGATAGTCCCCATATTTTTGGACAAGTCCTAGCTCAGGACCTCAAACAGTTTCATCATGATCACTCCGAGTCCACCTTATTACAATATGTAGACGATCTTCTACTCTGCAGTCCCTCGTGGGAACAGTCTCAACTTGACACTGCCTCTCTACTTAACCTTCTAGCTTCCAGAGGTTACCGGGTATCCCCCGTCAAAGCTCAAATCTCTTCCCCTTCTGTCACTTACCTTGGATTCCTTCTGTCTCAACAAAGAAAGTCCATTACCTTAGACAGAAAACGACTCCTCTCTGACCTGCCCGTTCCCAAAACCAAGACAGAAATCCTTTCCTTTCTAGGCCTGGCTGGGTATTTTAGAGCGTGGATCCCTAACTTCTCCCTGTTGGCAAGACCCCTATACGACCTCAGCAAGGGCCCCCCTGAAGAACCATTATCATCCTCACCCCGACACTCCTTCATTAAGCTCCGTCAAGCCCTTGTGGAAGCTCCAGCTCTCCATCTCCCTGATTTGTCAAAACCCTTCTCATTATACATTCATGAGAGGTCCAGTCAAGCTCTAGGAGTCCTAGGCCAATATTATGGCCCATCCTTTGCCCCAGTAGCTTATCTCTCCAAGCAATTAGACCCCACAGTTCGGGGATGGGCCCCCTGCCTACGGGCATTAGCCGCTGGACAGCTCTTGCAGAAAGAAGCTCATAAACTAACATTCGGAGCGCCCCTTACCATTCTGTCCCCACATCACCTAAAAGATCTCTTAACCTACAAAAGTTTACAGACTCTCCCTCCCTCCAGACTCCTGACCTTACTGTCCTCTTTCCTCCAAAATCCCGTTCACCCCCTTTGCCATCCATACCCGAATCATGACTTTTTCCTCCTTTACTGCTCTCTCGCTTTTTTTCCTCATTCCTATTGTCTTCCCCGCCACCCCAGCCTCCTTTGTATGGCGATTCAAAGTCAGACAGACTTACACACAGCATCAAACAAAAGTTACTGCCCTCATTGCCACACCAGACTGCCCTCTGAAAAGCTGCTCTGAGCCTTTATACCTCCACTTTCCTCCCTCCACTGAAGTGTTCACTAGCAGCTACCCTTATTCTCCCTACCTCTGCTTCCTCTATGACCAAAAACAAGCCTATTGCAGGCGATGGCCAGACACCTACAGGAGATGTCCCTACTAGTCTTGCACCATTCACTACATGGGTAACTTCCAGTACCCACAGTATTACTCCTCCAACCGTTTCATGAAATATCCCAATGGCTCATTCTCCTTATCAATCCCAGATCCCTGGGACTCTCGATGGGCTGCCAGAGTCACAGCCTCAGTTTACTACGGGGGGTCCTCGACCCCCCACAGTACCCTTCATATCTCTCGAAAGTATGTTCCCTCTCATTCCCAGATCTCTCAAGTTGCATCAGATAGCAGACATTCCGAAAAAGTCATTATCCAAACTCTTGATAGCGCCTCTTCATCTTCTTATCCCCACCCCTCTTCCCATTTCTCCTACTCTTCATTACAGCTCATTCAGGACACCACCATCTTTCTCAACCACACCCTTAACACCGCCAATTGTTTCTTGTGCGCATCACTACAGCGCCCACTGCTGGCCGCCGTGCCCCTTAATATTTCCAACTACTCCTTCCATGCAGAAAGACAACCCCTCTGCCCCCTGGCAGACATACCCCTATGGGAACCAGAATACGCAGATAATCTCACCATCCACCACTGTGTAGGCCCAACTCCACCCCCCTCCAGCGCACTTCACTGCCTCTCTATCTACACCCCTACCTCCGGCTCTAAGACTTTTACGCAACCGGGACACTTCTTTTAGTGTAATGGCAGTCTTTTCAACTCACTGCCTCTCAACTCCGATACACCCTGCATTCTCGTCACCCTAATCCCACAGTTAACACTTTACAGCATGGCAGAATTCCTTGAGCTCCAACCTCCCTTGCCCTCGCGCACAAAAAGAGCTGCTTTCCTTCCCATCATGGTCAGTAGCTCTTTGATCACCTCAGCCATTGGGGCAGGGTTTTCGGGAGAAGCCTTGGGTCACTCTCTATAGGCAGTTAGAGATCTCAACGCCAAACTTGAGGGAGCCCTGACATCCACTGCCGATTCCCTAGCCTCTCTCCAAAGACAGGTCACTTCGCTAGCTAAAGTCACCCTTCAAAACCGGCGGGCCCTAGATCTGCTTACAGCCGAGAAGGGCGGCACCTGCGTCTTCCTCTGGGAAGAGTGCTGCTATTACATCAACGAATCCGGCATTGTAGAAACTGACATCACCAAACTCACCGACCTTGCCTCCAGTCTCCACTCTGCTTCCAATTCCAACCCATTCTCTTCAATACTAACAAACCCCCTCCTCACCTGGCTCTGGCCCATTGCAGGCCCCATAATAATCATTCTTCTCGCCTGTCTCTTCTTACCCTGTATAATAAAGTTCATCAAATCCCAAGTCGGAAAAATCTCTAATCAAGCTTTCAACCAGCTTTTACTCAGGAACTACCAGCTTCTGGCCACAGAAGATCCCTCACCCTCACGTGACCTCCTCACCACACGCTGAGATGGACCCCTCTCTCCACTGGAAACTGTTCCTGGAAACAATAGCCGCAGACGCCTGGCTCCTGACACCCATATCCTCTTGGCAACATTGGAATCAACAGGTCCTCAACCTATGGTTACAGGGAACCTTCATTGATTTCCAACCTGAAGAAGTCCACATCTACTCATCCTTACTGTGGGGAGTCCTATCAACCCTTTCCTCCCAATCCTCAAGCCCTCACTCCCTTCTCCGCCCCTGTTCAGCAGGAAGCAGCCAGAGAGAAAGCAACGTCCACAAACCCATAGAGGAGAAAGGGGGGAATGAAGGGTCCCCACCAGTAAGATGGCAAACTTCCGGCTTCTCTTCGGGGTCCTCAGTTCCCGCAGGCGCCACCTGAAGCCCAATCACCTCTCGCCCCCCTCCCAATCCCAGCACCTAGCCAACAGCCACCAGCCCCGTAGAAGTAACACCACAATCACCCCATGCCCCTTCCTATATAACCCAGCACCTTTACCTAATAAAGCGGATTTCTCCGGTGAATTGCTGCTGTGTGTCGCTCCTTTCCTTTCAATTAATACTTAAAATTAATAACTATTTAAAGCAAGGTATCATCTGTCTTTGTTTCAGCCCCTTTTCTACTGTCTATTCTTTTAAGTTTTACACAAATCATTTTCATATTTAAGTTAGAACTTAAGTATTTGTTTAAAAAGTTGCCTTTAGCCTGTGGTATGCTAGTGAATGTTTAAAATATGGATATCTGGAAGGAAAAATAACTTTGATTTGTAGGGTTTGCTGATTTCTGTGGTGTGAATACCGTACTGTATTTTATGTCAATCTACTGAAATAGTATAATTGCATGTAGAACTGAGATGAATGCAATTTGCTCTCACAAGCTTGTATGAACCAGCTTCAGCACACTGCAGAATCTAATGTTAAGTTACACACACAAAAAGTCAGTAAATGAAAAATATATTCACTTGAAAGCTAACTTTATCTAACTGGAGAGTAATCTATAATAATAAACATGCAAGAAAACCATGTCTATGGCTTCCCCATATGTACATAATTAAATTTTGTGATTTTTCCTGTTAAAAAATAATAAATATAAATCAATTTCAAAAAGGAGTAAGAATATAAAGCTATTCCTATATCATAATTTATTTCCCTTTTACACAGATGGTTTACATCTGATATAGGAACTATAAAAATCTTTGTAGTCCCAAAGGAGAAATAAGAAAATTAACTGAAACTGTTAGGCAGAAAGACAGAAATGAGCAGGATGAAAAGGAGAAAAGGCCCCCCAAAGATGACTCAGGGAGTTGATCAAATAGAACCAGAAAGCCAGAAATGACTCAAAGAGTTAATCAGATGAAGCCACAGGGCCCAAGAGTGACTCAAGAAATGTCCAGGGTTCCCCCAGATAAGAAATATCAGAGGCACAGGCACAGCACAGCCCCTGTCCCCATTTCACCAATCAGAACAAGCCTAGAGAGCTGACAGCTGTCAATCAAGGACCTCTCTGCCCTGCCACAAACCACATAAAAGAAGCCTCAGAATGAGCATCCATGCCTGCCTGTCTTATCTTAGGCAGGCTCACTCTGTTACTCTATACAGAGTGTATTAAAACTTATTTTACTTTCTTGACTTTAGTCTCTTGTCTCACTATATCTGACTTACATACGACACTGAGTCGAGTCCTTTCCTTCCTAACAAAACTAAGAAACTATACCAATAAATTTTTGCTGTAATTGGTTATACCAAAAATATCATAAGGAAATAAGACACATAGATACAAAAATATCTATTTCACAACAAAGGAGAACATTAGTTATTCAGTAAAGAATTAAAATCTCATAGGAAACTTTTCAATTACTCTAGAAGACTATTATAACTTAGTCCATGGAGAAAGAAGGTAAATTCTTTGAAATAAAAACTTTTAAAATTAAAATAAGAAAACACTAACCTGGAGTCTTTGTTTATTTGGTCACCATATCCCACTGTTTCAACAACAGTTAATTTCAACTGAACATTGCTTTCCTGAAGATCATATGTCTGAATTTTAAGTCCAACCTTTGAGTAAAAATGTGAGGATTTTTTATCTTTCAAAATAGTATTAAACAATGTCTCAATCAGTGTTGATTTTCCAATTCCTGTTTCCCCTATAATAAACACAGATACATCATCTTGTGGCATAAGATGGTTGAGAAGAGGAACATTCTGAACAACTAAAGTGGTTTATAGGTTCCTAAATATTTTAAACACTGGGATGTCCTTAAAAGTGTACATGTTGCTTCTGATGTAGTCACTGACATAATATAGAAAGAAAATATACACAGAGCTATATCAGATTTTGAAAAGCAATGAAAAATTTAAAGAAATAACAACAAATAAATATGGCTAAGAAGATGGAAACCGAAAAAACATGAAGACATGTTCTTGAATTAACAGCACCAGTGTTATGATGCTTAAGATAAGTTCAAATAAGCATTTGGGAAAATTAAGTAATAGTTCTGCTGACTTTGGCACTTACCCACACAGAGAATATTAAAATAGAATCCTTGTTGAATAGATTTCTTGGCTAACTGATGAGGCAAGCAATCAAAACCAAAATGATTAAGCATAGTTAAGCAACGGATATTTTCTTCTTTCTGCTTAGAGAAAAAAACGAGAACATTTTAATTAGAATAGAAAATGATACTATTTCAAAATGTAGTGTGTCAAAGAAACTAAACTGATTATCATTTGATTATCACAATTCAGACAACATGTAAATGAAGTAAATTTGTGAGCAAAGAAATCTCTGTTCAGACACACGAACTTTGATATCGTTTTTATAAACAGTGAATCTATCTGATCACACTCAAAAAGACTGTTTATACATTTTAAAACAGTACTTTACAGAAGTAACACAAGAAAGTCCAATGTATCACTGCAAAGTACTAATTTTCCCTAAAAATTTTATTTTGCTTCATTGTATTAACATATATAACTGACCCTTAACCAATATGGGACTTAAGTGTGCTGACTCCTCAGGCAGTTGAAAACCCACATATAATTTAAATCACCCCAAATTTAACTATGAAAAGCCTACTATTGACTGGAATCCTTGCTAGTAATATTGGAAGTCCGTTAACACACATTTTGTATATGTATCATATACTGAATTCTTACAACTAGAGAAAAGAAATATCTTTCCAAATTGTTACAAACATCCAAGAAATTTTCCAATATATTTACTGAAAAAATTTGTAGATAGCAGACCTGCACAATTCAAAACCATATTGTTCAAGGGCCAACTGTATTTGGGAATACATTAATCTATGTAGGAAAACCTGAGCTCACTTGAAATTTTTTAAAGCTGCTAAAAATTTTGACTTCACATTTGTCACATGCCAAGAATTTGTGTTATATCAAATTGTTGAAGGAATCCACTGCTAATAACAACCTAGAAAGTAGAAACCTATTAATATTATACACAATTAACCAACTGATTTTTTAAGTGGAAAAAATAATCAAAGAAAGCTTAACAATATACATTTATCTCACCCCTGGAAATCTCTCCCAAACATCCATAAAAAATGCTTTATACAATGAAGTGGTTGTTACAGTTCTCTAACATCCAAATGTAGGACTCCATATTACAGAATAATATCCAAACAAATGATGATATAGTCATCCACACACTGAGGCATTCTTAAGTCATTAAGATATTTATGTGAAATGCTTTAATAAATTAAAAAATAGTTATATAAAAATGATAAGTAAAATATTTAACATACAAAATTGTGTGTATATTCCTAGTTTGTAGTGATAAAGTAACCTATCATTTTACATCTATTCATATTAACAATTAGAAATAACTGTAAATCCACTGGAAGGAAAGAAAAGCAGGCAGAAACAAGATGAAATCAAACACTGGAAATAAGGTAGAATAATAGGTAAAACCATGTTTATTCACATAGTCTGTTTAAGCTACTCTCCAGTAAACAATGTGCTTAGAAAGTAGGGCACAAGCGGAATGACAGTGTTGGCCAAAGAAGTAAATTCAGAGATTAAGATTGCCAAAATACCAGGATATTGAGAAAGAAATTCTGGAAAAGCAAGTCAAAGAGGAAGATGTAAATCTGCAAACTTTGAAACACTTGGTTAAGCCAAACTCTTCAAGTGAACATGTTATTTTTAAAAAGCTCAGTGACGAGAGAACAGCTGGCATTCTGAAAGTGCCTAGCTGGAATTTCAGCAGTGGTCCTAGAAAGTACTAAGGAAGACACTTTGTGGAATTAAAGTTTCACCCAAGAAAGGCAAGTTTGGTAAACACTTTGGACTTTTCACTTAAACTTTTAAAAGCCTTAGTATAAGAATGAGACTATGTTCTTATGGTTCTATGTCTAAGGACTATGTTCTAATTTCTATGTTATAACTCCAAGTTTGAAGGGTATAACTAAAATCTACCTTTAAAAACCATAGTGCCATGACTCAACAGGACACAAATAATTTACTAGTAATAAAACTCCCTGATAAAATGAAATTCAATATTCATTACAGAAATATAATAGAATCCAGACTTTCCACAATCTATCATCCACAATGCCCAATGAATAGTCAAAATTACTAGATATGAAGAAACAGGCAAAAAATGTGTGCCATAGCCAAAGGATAACACAATCAATAGAAAGACCCACACAATGAGAATATAAAATTGGCAGATAGTATAAAATAATGAATAATATATTTAAGAATATACAGGAAATGTTGATGTAACAGATGAAGTGATGGATAATTTTGGAATGGTATGAAAATTCTAGAAATAAATGGGACTCAAAGAATAGAAAAACCACAATATCTAACATATAATAATTCTTTTAATGAAGCATTTACTCTTCCAGCATCACAAATTAAGCAACTAGTAGATCCAATCTTCTCACTTATAACTGCAAACTGCCCAAAAATAAATACACAACGACCTGAAGAACTGTAGGGTGAACAAAATTGGGCAGATACTAAAGAGGAGCAACATTTGGAAGAAGAAATGACATGATGAGTTTACATCTTGACAACTTTTAGCCTGAGTATAAATCAAAGTCAGTGCCACACAAAACATCAAACATTCTCCTAAAAATCCTCTATCCTTTCTTTCGTGAAGAACTAAAGGACAGGGTTCAGGGAAACCACAGCTGCTGGAGAATGTGGGTAGAATTCCAGAAAGGAAATAAGGAGAAGGTTCTCATACTCTATGTATGTAGTATATGCAAGTTACTGGCTGACCTCTGAAGTAGAATCTATGAGAACAATTATAAATAGCTCAGATATAGGCAAAAGTATTTAACAGAAAAACAGTTTCTACATAGGAAACATTTTCAATTTAGGTCAAAAAAGTTAATTGCCTGCTAAAATAAAATCATTAACACTCTTTGAAATAACATTACAATATCCTGAAACTGCAGTGTAATATTCAAATATCCAAGTGTAGAAAAAATGGAAATTTCTGACAGGGATTCCCACCTGGCCTGATTAGCACCCAATGTATATACATATAAGAGCCAGCTATGCATACTTACAAGAGTGGAAAGATGTTTACCAGGGACAGAACAGCTGGTCAGTCATGGGCGTTTGAGTGCAGGGGAGGGGTAGAGAGAAAATACCCACTCAGCGTACTCCCCTCAGTTTCTTTCTTTCTTTTTTTTTTTTTGAGAGGGCATCTCTCATATTTATTGATCAAATGGTTGTTAACAACAATAAAATTCTGTATAGGGAAGTCAATGCTCAATGCACAATCATTAATGCACCCCAAGCCTAATTTTCGTCAGTCTCCAATCTTCTGAAGCATAACGAACAAGTTCTTACATAGTGAACAAATTCTTACATAGTGAATAAGTTCTTACATGGTGAATAGTACAAGGGCAGTCATCACAGAAACTTTTGGTTTTGATCACGCATTATGAACTATAAACAATCAGGTCAAATATGAATACTCATTTGATTTTTATACTTGATTTATATGTGGATCCCACATTTCTCCCTTTATTATTATTATTATTATTAATAAAATGCTGAAGTGGTAAGTAGATGCAAGATAAAGGTAGAAAACACAGTCCAGTGCTGTAAGAGAGCAAATGTAGATGATCAGGTGTGTGCCTGTAGACTATGTGTTAATCCAAGCTAGACAAGGGCAATAAAACATCCACGGATGCAAAAGATTTCTCTCAAAACAGGGGGGGTGAGGTTCTAAGCCTCACCTCTGTTGATCCCCAATTTCTCACCTGATGGCCCCCCTGCGACTGTGCCTGTCTTAGGTTGTTCCTCCCTTGAGGAATCTTACCTATCTCTGGCTAACCAGTCATCTTCCAGGGCCATACAGGGAAATGTAAAGTTGGTAAATGAGAGAGAGGCCATATTGTTTGAAAAGGTTAGCTTTTTACCTCCCCTCAGTTTCTTGTATGTATCATTGGGCATCTGCTAGTAACCAGAGACCCACCCACAGTGTTCCTCCCAGTGCTGGGGTAGGAAAGCAGATGGCTGTGATAACAGGGAGAGAGTGGTGGAAGTGTGGGGCAGGGAGATGGAGAACAGAGAAGGTAAGCCTAGAGGGAGAACTAGGAGAAAACAGTGGCTGGTGGAGGGAAGCCATGGAACCCTGGTGCTAGGAGATGATTAAGCTTATGCTGGGGAGTTGGGGTGAGCAGCACTGGAGCCAAAAGCAACTGCGACTCACTGCTGTGAGAATGTGGTATTAACTCCCTTTAGCACCCCCAACTTCTTGCCCTTGTCTTTATACAGCCTCATTGATTTCATAGGGAACTTGTCCTGGGTGGAGAATCCCCTCCTCCTGGAACAACACCAGGTTACATGCTAAAATCTCTCAAATTTGCATCCCAGGATAGTCCATGGAAATTAACAGCAAGATGATCTGGTGCTAGAATTGCTGAAAGGGATTTTTAAGCATCTGTTATAAATGTGCTTAAGGACAAAAGGAAAGAATGCATGCAATAAGTAAAAGGACAAAAGTTTCAGAAGAAAAATAAAAGATATAAAATTGAGAGCAAAAATAAAAGAGGTAGAAAATGTACACATATTAGAGAAAATTTTAGTCAAATTAGCTGTTTTGAAAGAGAAAATTGACAAAAATCTAGCTAGGCCAATTTAAAAAATACAAAACATTATTTGCCCATGTCAGAAATGAAAGAATAGTACTACAGACCACACAGATATTAAAATAACAGTCAAACTCATAGAAAAGTCGCCAGATGCTACATGGCACAGGAAATGGAGAGCTGTTGGTCAACAGTTACAAAGTCTTAGTTAAGCAAAATGAATGCATTCTGGGGATTAAGCTGGACAGAGCTCTACCTCCCAACAGTTGGGAACTCTGAAGAGACCCAGAAGCTCCATCCCCCTTGCTGGCAGTGCATCCCCAAGTCTCCTCCCTGTGTGTGATGCTGAAAGCCAACCCACTTGGCCCAGTGGTAGGATCAGACTTTGCTGCCTGGAAGGCAGAGGGAGAAACTCCTGGCTTCCTTGGCTCCATTTCAGCCCAACCAGGGAGGTGACTAAAGGAGCCAGCCAGAAGAGCTCCTTCCTCCCTGAAGGTGTCCAAGCCCAGTACTGCACATCTGGCTGTGGAAGAGCTGAACATCAGTCTTCCCATTTC